ATGGAACGAGCCCAGGCACCGCATGAGGGGCGGAGTCGCCCGGGGGTGCGGCCGCTGGCCTCTGGCCACGCGTGGGAGCGCCGAGCGATGCGCTCCCGGAGCGCCCCCGGCGGCCGACTCCTGCGGGACAGGGGCCCCGCGCGAGCTCGTGCAGGAGCGACGGGGCTGGGTGCTCAGACCCCCTCGCGCCGTGTTAAAACTCACGGCGGGCGGTTCGTCGCTATTTTCCGGCCTCCGGGGGCCCTTGCCGGGCCCCGGGACCGTCAAACAACGACTCAGGATGAAACGCCGGTCCCAGGAGCCAGTTGTTTTCCCCACAGCCAAAATGGGGTTCCTGTTTTCTTTGCACACCCCCACGCAGGCACGTCACACCTCACCCCCTCTCCTCCCCACTCACTCACTCACCCACACACGCACACACGTATTCACACACTCATCATCAGTACCATCAGTGCCATCATCATCATCATCATCATCATCATCATCATCATCATCATCATCATCATCATCATCATCATCATCATCATCATCATCATCATGATCTCACTCACGCACGCACGCACGCACGCAAGCACTCACTCACTCACTCACTCACTCACTCACTCACTCACTCACTCACTCATTCAACACCTACCCCCTCAGGAGTACAGGAGGGGGTGGGCTTCATCAAGCTTGAGCATGGAGGAAGTCTCAGGTGGGAGCCTCGTCTGTGAGTGAACTGCGAGGAAGCCTGTGGCGGGAACCCCTGCCTATGGTCCCGCGCCTCATTTTTTTATCCGAGGCGCGTCATCGGAATCCAGTAACCGTCGTCACTTTGGGCTTCGTCGAGCTTGAGCATGGAGGGAGTCTCAGACGGGAGCCTCGTCTGTGAGTGGATTGCGAGAAAGCCTCAGGCGGGAGCCTCGGCCTTTGTGGCCCGCAGCTAATGTTTTTAATTCGAGCGGTTCATCCGAACCCTGTATTGTTGTCACTTTTGGGCTCCTCAGGCGTGAATTTTGGGGAAGTCTCAGGCGGGAGTCTCGTCTGGGAATGGAGTGCGCGGAAGTCAGGCGGGAATGCCTTGCCTATGGGTCCCGCACTTTATGCTTTTTAATCCGAGAGGTCATCCGAATCGCTGTCGCCACTTTTGGGCTCCGCAGGCCTGAATCTTGAGGACGTCTCATGCGGGAGCCTTGCACGGAAGTCTCAGGCGGGAACCCCTTGCCTATGGGTCAGGCGGGAGCCTCGTCCGTGAGTAAATTGCTAGGAAGTCTCAAGCGGAAATCCTCTGCCTATGGGTCCCGCGCGTCATGTTTTTAATCCGAGCGGGTCATCGGAACTTCGTATCTGTCGTCATTTTGGCTTCCTCAGGCCTGAATACGGAGGAAGTCTCAGGCGGGAGCTTCGTCTGTGAGTGCATTGCGAGGAAGTCTCAGTCGAAAACCCTCGCCTTATGGGGTCCGCATTTCCTGTTGGTAATCCGAGCGGGTTATCGGAACCTTGTACTTGCCGTGTGTGTTCGCCTCCTCTATATTGAATATGCAGGAAGTCTCACGCCGGGGCTTCGTCTGTAAGGGGGTAGCAAGGAAGATTCAGGCGGGCCCCCCCCCCATGAGGCTCGCGCTTCATGTTGGTGATCCGAGCTGGTCATCGGCAAAATCTACCAGGCATAGCCCTTGAGCACCCCAGAGGGGCACATCACGAGGCGTTCCTCACGCGTTTGTGAATGAATTGCAAGGGGGTCTCAGGCGGGCGTCCCCTTCCTAGTCACAAGTCGCTCGAGGAGTTCGACAAGAGAGCGGTGGACTCTGGGGCTGAGGCGGAGCAGCTCGCGGCAGAGCTGAACTTCGTGCTGCCTCCCACCTGAGCGCGGCCGCGACTAACTCGGTACCTGCGGGGTTGTCCCAACGGTTTGCCCTCGCGCCCCAGCAGCTCGCTGGGTTGTCCCAGCGGTTGTTTCCCCGACGGCTTCGCGATTTTGCCATTGGAGAGCGCGCCCCTGCCAGGCGCGGCGGCGAAAGCGCCGAGGAAAATCGGCATGCGCCCCTTTGCCGGGAAAGGTACATGAGGATAACAGGTGGGATGGAGGGGTGGAGAAGGAGGAGGTGGAAGAGGAGGGGGGGGACGAGCTAGGTGCGCTCGCGTCATATCTGACATCCTACCCCTCCCTCCCATCCCTTACCATGGCGCAGATGCCCTCTCTCTACTCGCACAGGCGGATGTCGAGCAGGGCAATGATCCCGAATGGGTACGCGATGCATTGTAGAGCACGGCGTGGTATGGCGTAGAAGAGCACCGCATAGCGTAGTATCAACCTAGCATTGCATTGCATGCCGTGGCATGGCAGGGGAAATGACGCCAGCGCTGCAGCGAGAAGGCGAGTCGAAACGAACGGAAGCGCGGAAATGAGGCCAGCGCTGCAGCGGGAACACGATTCGGAACGAGCGGAAACACGGAAATGAGGCCAGTGCTGCAGCGGGATCACGATTCGGAACGAGCGGGGCCCGACAATGAGGCCGGCGCCTCAGCGAGAGCAGCATTTTGGAAAACATGCAGGCGAAAACCCAACTCCTGGGAAACCTGCGTGTAACAAAACAGTGCGCGGGGGGGGGGTCGGACACTCCCAGGCCGTCATCGGGGGAAGAGGGAGAGTAGTATTCAGATTGAGCAATTGTAAAGGACGAAGAGGACCAGGAGAAATCAAACAAGGAGGGCGAGCAGGAAGAGGAAACGGAGGGCGAGGAAGATAAGGAAGATGAGGAGGAGGCGCAAAAGAGGGCGAGGCGGGGGGCTTTGGCCAAGGCGAAAAGGAAACAGCGAAAGGCAATCTAAATAGTTTTTCGTGCGGGGTCCCACCGTCGGAATGATTCGTCTCCTGGGCGATGACGGCCTTCGCTGGGCTGGGAGACGGTGGATGGGGAAAAGGGCCGGTGACGTCGCGTTTTGCGCTGGCGGCGTCTGGAAATGCCCAGGAATGAACGCCGACGGGTGGGAAAAACATGTACGCGGCGATCTGCGATTCAAACAACGTGCGAACCACAGTGCGCGAGTGCACCACAGCGCCTGCGTACACCACAGCGACTATGTACACCACAGCAGCCGCGTGCAACACAGCGCTGGTGAGCATCACGCTGGCTGCGTGCACCACAACGCTTGTGTACACCACAACGCCTGCGTACACCACAGCATCCGAACGCAACATAGCACCAGTGTGCATCACAGTGACTGTGTGCACCACAGCGACTGTGTACACCACGGTGCCTGCGTGCACCATAGCAACCGTGTGCGTCAACACACCATCGAGGTATGTAGAATTTTGGAAGAAACCACGATGACAAAATGGACCGTCTGTTGATTTCCACCGGCCGGAAGACTATGTTATACTGGATTTGGTCAGGAGTCTTTACGGAAATAACACAGATTCCGGAAGTTACGAGTCCTCCCGCGGAGGCGGGAGAGGAGGAAGAGGAGGAGGAGGAGGAGGAGGAGGAGGAGGAGGAAAACGCGGAGGAGGAGGAGGAGGGACCAGGGACCAGGCTGAGGCCACCATCCGCGTCGAATGGGGGCTGGAAGAGGGAGGGCGGCAGTGGCCGCACAAGAAAGAAAAAGCGAACCCCGCGTCCGCGGGGCAGACGGCGCTGCCGAGCTCAGCAGGGCCACGCCGCCCGCCCTACAGCTAGCGGGGCTTGCGCCCAGCCAGGACCTCGTCGCGGAACCAGAGCTGGCCCGAGGTCGGGTTGCCTTGGCACGGGTGCAGCAGCGACCTGAACGCTGGAGGAGGAGGAGGTAGACCAGGGGGAGGAGGAGGAGAAGGAGGAGCAGGAGGAGGAGGAGGAGCAGCAGGAGGAGGAGGAAAACGAGGAGGGGGAGGAAAAAGAGGATGGGGAGGAGGAGGAGGAGGAGGAGGAGGAGGAGGAGGAGGACGAGGAGGAAGAGGAAGAGGAGGAGGAGGAGGAATGCTAAGAAATAGGGAACATAATAATACTACGAACAATAAGCATACCAGTAGTAATAATAATGTCACTACGAATCACCAGTAATAATCACATTAATACTGAGAAGATTACTACCAATACTACTATTTGTACTTATAATGATAGTGTACGTGCTTTCAGTAAATAATAACAGTAGTGGTAGTAGTCGTAATACTAATATTAATAATACCAATAGCAATAAACTAACGAAACTAATACATGGAACGCTAAGACAATGAACTAATAAGAATAGTACTAATACACAAACTGCTAATACTAATAATTTGAGTACTAATGGTACTACTACTACTACTACTACTACTAAGAATAATAAGCACGCCAATAATAGTGATACAAATCATAAGGATACGAAAGAATAATAATACGAATATTAATATTCGTAATAACTATAGAATAATAAAACAACAATGGTAATCATAAGAAAAATCGTATGATCTGTACGACGGGAATTAAGACAACTATTAAACATAATATTAATACTAAGAGGAGGAGGAGGAGGAGGAGGAGGAGGAGGAGGAGGAGGAGGAGGAGGAGGAGGAAGAGGAGGAGGAGGAGGAGGAGCAGGAGGAGGAGGAGGAGGAGCAGGAGGAAGGAGGAGGAGGAGGAGGCGGAGGACAAGGGGATACGAGGGGGATGCTGGCTGCTGCTGCTGGTGACGATAATGATGAGTGAGGGGGAAGGAGGAGGAGGAGGAGGAGGAGGAGGAGGAGGAGAGGAGGAGGAGCGGAGCAGGAGGAGGCAGGAGGAGGAGGAGGGAGTCAGTGGAACGGAGGAGGATGAGGAGGGAAAGGAGCAGGAACCGGAGGAAGGAGGAGGAGCAGGAGCCAGGAGCAGGGAGTGCGCAGGAGAGGAGGAGGAGGAGGAGTATGAGGAGGACGGAGGAAGAGGAGGGAGGAGGAGGGGGAGGGAGAGGGCGGCGGAGGCGGAGGCGAGGCGGAGATGGAGGAGGAGGAGGAGGCGGAGGAGGAGTGAGCAGACGAGGAGTAGGAGGGGGAGGGGGAGGGGGAGAGGAGGAGGAGGAGGAGGAGAGGAGGAGGAGGAGGAGGAGGAGGACGAGGGACGAGGGGAGGAGGACGGGAGGAGGAGGAAGAGGAGGAGGAGGAGGAGGAAGAGGAGGAGGAGGAGGCGGAAGAGGAAGAGGAGGAGGAGGAGGCGGACGAGGAGGAGGAGGAGGTGGAGCAG